TTTTTTGGCAGAGCAAAGCGCGTGGCCCGAGGGGGCGAATGGGCGAGTCCGCTTGTCTGTCGGTACCAGCCCAGCCTGACACCTGCCCCCGGGGTGGGGGAGCGACTTAGCTTTGCAGTAGCGCTTGAGGTGAAGAGGCTTTGAGCGCAGGGTAGAGAGCTCTCTCATCGGTTTAGACCTTGTCTTCACCAAAGGTTACTTCGGTATAATTTATATGGCTTGGGGGGGTGAATAATCCATACCCTTGAGTGATGTAAGGCCTTGTCCACACTTACCGATGCATTGGCGGTCAATTTAGCAAGACCCGCTAAATCGACCGCCGATCGCTCTCCCCTCGACTCCTGTTTTCCACCTGAAGTGCAAGGGGAGTCGACGGGAGAGCGCCCCCAGTCAACATCGTGTAATGTGGACCCCCACGGTAAGTAGATCTAAGTACGTCTACTTCAGCTACATTATTCATGTAACTGAAGTTGGGTAACTTAGATCGATCCAGGGCCGGCTCTGGCTTTTTTGCCGCCCCAGGCAAAAAAGCCTCTGGCCGCCGCCCCCCCCCTCCCCCGCGGGGGGGGGAGGGCGGCTGGAGCCCTGGGAGGAGGGCGGCGAGCCCTGGCGGGGGCTCCTCTCTCCCCCGGCAGCCGGGGGGAGGGCGCCGGGGGGGGAAGGCGGCGAGCCTGGCCGTGGCCCCGCTCTCCCCGGGGGCCGGAGCGCCGCGCCGCCCCCCTCCAGGTGCTGCCCCAAGCACCAGCTTGGTGGGCTGGTGCCTGGAGCCGGCCCTGGATCGATCTCCCCTCCCCCCGTAGTGTAGACAAGGCCTACGTTACATGACCTAAGTGCTGGTGTAGTCCGCACTATAGCTATCGCAATGGCAGGAGTTATTAAGCCCTCTCCCATCGTCTCTTAGAGCATCTCCACCACAAATGCTACAACGTCACAGCTGAATCGGGCAGCTGTGCTGCTGTAAGTGCTGTAGCGTAGATGTAGCCACAGTAATTCCTGCCTCTGTGAGAGGCGGTAGTTTTGTCGGTGGAGAAGCTCTCACTGACATAGCACTGTCCACACTGGCACTTAGGTTGGTATAATTTACATTGCTCAGGGGTGTGGATTATTCACAATCCTTAGTGACGTAATTTATACTGCAGTAATTTGAAGTGTGGGCTTAGCCTCGCTCCCGCTGATGTCAGTGCGGAGTAACACGCTGAAAGCGGTGGGTTTACACTGGTGCGAGAAGAGAATCGGCACCTTATTTTGGGGGTGGACTGCTGTGTCCAGTCTGGTGTTTATGTTCTTGCCATGGGGGTGGAGTGTGAGTGGTTCTGAGACAGACATAGCTAGTCTGCATCATCCTGCCTTAACTTGGCAGTGTTACCTAGTATCAGTGTACAGCTAGCGTTCATGTTTAGTTTATTAACTTAAATGGTCAGCTTTTAGTTTTCAGGACTCCTTCGCTTGTTTAGTTATTCATGTTTCCTTTATTTATTTGGTCTTTTGAGTGGCTTGTTATGAAACACTAATTTGGCTGCTTCTCAGTGCTGATAAATCAGTTTTGAGAAGGAATATGAGTGTGATTGAGAGAATCCCATCATGCAGTATGAATTATCTACAAGTAATTGGATCTGGAAAGACATTATTGCTCCATAAATGTATCTTGTTTCTAAAACAATAAATATGTACATGCAAATTGTTTCTGAGACTAAGATGCAAAGGGAAATTGTAGCTGTTGGCTCTAGTTTGGGGACTTATATTATTCTGAAGTGCTGGGTAGAATAGACTAGAAATGAGCATAGGATCAGGAGCAAAATCTTATTTTCTTTAAATATGAAGCCAGCATATCTGATCTATAGACAGTTATTGAGATTTGCATTCAAAGCAGAGATTAAATCTATATGCATGAGTAGGTAGGATCTCCAAACTTATGTTGACTATGTGCAGAATAAACGTTGAGAATTTTCAGGTAAATCAGTGAATTGTTTGTGATCTTTTTTTAAACTGCACTTTTTTTATTTCTCTAGCAAATTCCTGAATTTTTACATTTGAAAATTGACTTATAAATTATAGCAAAATGTAAGATGTGGACTACTTTGTAAGTTTCTTAGTGTTAAATTTTGATTTATTTACATTAGCCATAACTGTTTTTGTTTACATTGTGACTGTTTGTAGAGTATTTTCATCATCAAAAGGACTCTCCAGCATCTGAAAACAGGTTTGCACTAGAAAGCTTTGCCACGATAGCTATGTTGGTTGATAGTGTGGGGTTTTCTCCAATGTAGTTATGCTGGTAAAAGTACCAGTGTAGATGCAGTTATATCAGTATAAAAGTTCCCCTAGTGTAGATCTTAAGCCTTCATTTAAAAATAAACTATTTCTAACTCGTTGTTATGAAAAAAAATTAAAATATAGAAGTTCAAACCAAGACACTATTGCTCTCCTAAGTGTGCAGACAGTGGAAAAACACTTTTGAGTTGCCCTATTATCTCAATGGGTGGTTAAACCCATTCTTAAATTTTAGTTAAATGACAGCTATTTCACTGCTGACCACTTTAGCAGAAATGTCAATCTAATTGACAAATGCATTTGGTGCAGTGTTTGTCATAGATCCTTTTGATTACTGATCTGATGATATAATTGACAAATATATTTAGCCATTTAAAGTCTTAGATGTCAAAACTTTAAATGGCAAACCCACTTGATGATGAACACAGATAACATGAATCCAAGTGTTGATGTCTAAAACTGTTTTCAAATCCACTTGTCATCTTAATATGGAGGGCCTACAGTGGCTCTGCAGCTATTGTTGTGTTGACTCTTTTACTTGAAGTAGGAGTTAAATCTTTTATGTATGAAAAACTTGGGGATTAGACTAGATGATCCTTGCGGTCCCTTCTAACCCTATGATGATTCTATGAAAATACTGAGCATCTCCCAATTTGCAAGCGTTGGATTCTCTTTAGAATGTCAACCTTTTTTTCAGATACCTCTGCTAAAGAAATTTCTTACTGCTAGAGCTGTGCAAGTTTTTTTATGTATGTTTTGATCAACTACATGATCCATAGTTCCTTGAAGGGTATCCTTGCAAAGTAATGATTCTGAAAACTGAAACCATTTGGTAAATTTGCAGAAGAGGTAGAGCAACGTTAATCAGATTTGCCCTACCCAGGTACGTGCATAGTCCATCAACACACAGCATGGTGCCAGCAGTAGACTGGGCCGTACTGCTGCTTTTCTGGAATTTCTTCTGAGAGCCTGCTGAAAAATAGCTTATGAAGCATAAGATTTTGCTACGCTTAACTTGACAGCTATACATATTTTTGTCATAAAATTAACAATATCACTTTTACCTGCAGCCACCACAGTATTTTACTCACTAGCTTCTTGCAGCATTGAATTGTACAGGTTGACTATCACCCATTTGAGGTAGCATAATCTTTTAAAAAGCTTTAAATGTACAGGCCTTTAATTTCACTGAAAAATTAATGATTATTGGAATTACTGTAATGCAGGGGGTCTCAAACTGGGGGTCGGGACCCCTCAGGGGATTGGGAGGTTATTACATGGGGGGTTCACGAGCTATCAGCCTCCACCCCAAATCCCGCTTTGCCTCCAACATTTATAATGGTGTTAAATATATAAAGTGTTTTTAATTTATTAGGGGGGTCACGCTCAGAGGCTTGCTATGTGAAAGGGGTTACGAGTACAAAAGTTTGAGAACCACTGCTGTAATGCCTTGTTCTTGTATCATGGATTTGTCTTTGAAATCAGTCCAGATTTAATCCCAAATGTACAAATTAGAATCTATACGATATTTATACAGTCGAAATGGGCAATGTACATTTATGGGTGGCAGAAGCTTGTTGTGTAACTTTATGTGCAATCTAGATCAGTGGTTCTCAACCTGTCCAGACTACTGTACCCCTTTCAAGAGTCTGATTTGTCTTGCGTTCCCTAAATTTCACCTTACTTAAAAACTACTTGCTTACAAAATCAGACATAAAAATAGAAAAGTGTCACAGCACACTATTACTGAGAAATTGCTTATTTTCTCATTTTTTTACCATATAATTATAAAATAAATCAATTGGAATAAAAAATTGCACACTCATTTCAGTGTATAGTATATAGAGCAGTATAAACAAGTCATTGTCTGTATGAAATTTTAGTTTGTACTGACTTTGCTAGTGCTTTTTCTGTAGCCTGTTGTAAAACTAGGCAGATATCTATATGAGTTCATGTACCACCTCTGCATCTTGAGAACCACTGAGCTAGATCTCATACATTCTTGCGTGTTGCATTCTTTTATATTGCTTTTTTGTTCATTTGAAAACCCACTTATTTTCTGAAGTGCCATCTCACTTGCTTGTAAACGCCTTTACAAGGGCCTGGTGTCTGCCCTGTTTTAGGGCAGGTCTAGACTGGGACTTAAATTGGCCTAGGTACAGCTCTCAGGGGTGTGAAAAATCCACACTCCTGAGAGACATAGCTATGGTGACCTCTGGCATAGACAGTGCTAGGTCAATGGAAGAATTCTTCAGTCAACCTAGCTACCGCCTCTCAGGGAGGTGGAGTACCTTCACCGACGACGAGAGAATCCCTCTCGTCAGAATAGGTAGAGTCTACACTAAAGTGCTACAGCAGTGCAGCTGCAGCGGTTTAAGTGTTGACATACCCTTATTTAAGCTTAATACTCTTTTGACTACAGGACAAGCCTTTTTAGGGCTT